TGGATGAAGCCGGAAACCATCATTCCCAGCAAACTAACACAGGAACAGAAAACCAAACACCACGTGTTCACACTGATAAGTGGGAGCTGAACAATAAGAACATATGGACACAGGAAGGGGAACATCACACACTAGGGCCTGTTGGGGGTAGGTGGCAAAGGGAGGGATAGCATTAGGAGAAATACCTAATGTAGATGATGGGGTTGATGGTTGCAGCAAACCACCATGGCACATGTATACCTTTGTAAAAAACTTGCACGTTCTACACATGTACCCCAGAACTTAAAGTATAATTTTTAAAAAAAGAAACTAAAAAAAAAATTATAAAATGGTTCTTAACTATAAAATACTGATATGTGATGGGCAATTCAAAATTTCTTGTTTTCTAGGTTTTAAATAAAATTTAAGGTTACTACAAGTTTAAAATATTTAGTACATTTATATAATTATACATATAAACTTATAAAAATGTATTTTTTTGTTGGTTTTTTTTAATTGCACTTTAAGTTCTGGGGTACGCGTGCAGATCTTGCAGGATTGTTGCATAGGTACACACATGCCATGGTGGTTTGCTGCCTCCATTCCCCCTCACCTACATCAGGCATTTCCCCCAATGTTATCCCTCCCCCAACCTCCCCACCCCTCTCTGTCCCCCCCCAGCACCCCACCCCCCAACAGACCCAGTGTGTGATGTTCTCCTCCCTGTGCCCATGCGTTCTCATTGTTCAACAGCCGCCTATGAGTGAGAACGTGTGGTGTTTGGTTTTCTGTTCTTATGTAAGTTTACTGAGAATGATGGTTTCCAGATTCGTCCATATCCCTACGAAGGACATTAACTCATCCTTTTTTATGGCTGCATAGTATTCCATAGTGTATATGTGCTACATTTTCTTTATCCAGTCTAACATTGATGGGCATTGGGGTTGGTTCCAGGTCTTTGCTATTGTAAACAGTGCCTCAATGAACATATGTGTGCATGTGCCTTTATAATAGAACGATTGTAATCCTTTGGGTATATACCCAGTAATGGGATTGCTGGGTCAAATGGAATTTCTATTTCTAGATCCTACTACAAGTCTACAGTAATCAAAACAGCATGGTATAGACCAGCATGGTATAAACCAAAACAGAGATATAGACCAGTGGAACAGAACAGAGTCCTCAGAAGTAATGCCACACATCTACAGCCATCTGATCTTTGAAAAACCTGACAAAAACAAGCAATGGGGAAAAGATTCCCTGTTTAATAAATGGTGTTAGGAAAACTGGCTAGCCATGTGCATAAAGCAGAAACTGGACCCTTCCTTACACCTTACACTAAAATTAACTCCGGATGGATTAAAGATTTAAACATAAGACCTAACACCATAAAAACCCTAAAAGAAAACCTAGGCAAAAGCATTCAGGATATAGGCATAGGCAAGGACTTCATGACTAAGACACCAAAAGCAATGGCAATAAAAAATGTAATTTTAATTCAAAGTATAAACAGACTAAAATATCCCTTTATTAGAGAGAGAGATGGAATCTTGCTCTGGTGCCCAGGCTGGAGTGTAGTGGCTTGATCTCTGCTCACTGCAACCTCCACCTCCAGAGTTCAAGTGATTCTTGTGCCTCAACTGCCCGAGTAGCTGGGACTACAGCAGCCCACCACAACGCCCAGCTAATTTTTGTACTTTTAGTAGAGACAGGTTTCACCATGTTGCCCAGGCTGGCCTTGAACTCCTGATCTCCAATGGTCCATCCACTTCAGCCTCCCAGTGCTGAGATTACAGGCATGAGCCACCATGCCAAGCCTAAAATATGCTTTTAATTAAAAGATAATTGTGTGTAATTCAGAGGTAATTTTAAGTTTGTATCAAAATATGGATTTAATAAATGTTTTAAAACCAAGAAATTATAAAATATAAAAACATTACAAATATAAAAATTTGTATTTTAAAAGTTTAAAATAATTTTACTTTTAAAAATCTTGTGTAATTTTTCTCAGAATAAAAGAATTGGTTATTTATTAAATGTATAGAAATAAAGTGTCAAAACATGTCAATAGTCTGATTAAGCAGTGACAAGTTTCATAAAAGAAATTTATTTTAAAATTTGTGTGCCATCAAGTTGGCTATAATTTTTCAAAATTATTTATAACTCTAATATTTGATCTTTAATGTTAAAAATACACTAATGCAAAATTAAAATATTTGGTCCTTTATGTAAAAACATGATTTTCTTCAAGTATTGATTTGGTGATAGTAACAAAGCAAATTGTTTTTATTTTTAATCCTAAAATCTGATTTTTTCTTACAGCCACCCTTTAAACTGCAGTTTCTATATCTGCCACATTTCATCCTGAGAGCTACTTAATTTTCTGTTTAGTTGAAAGTGCTGTTTTTATTCAAAAATGGCAATTGCATTTCTTTTTCTGAAGTGAATGAATTGAACCAAAGATAATTTCATTTCTTGAGGTAAACTTATTAAAGTTTCTCAGGCACATCTCTTTGTTTGGGATGACAGCTGTCTCCTCTCCTTTGACCTTTTCATCAACCTCTGTTCCTTTTTTTTGCTTCTCTGCCATTATGACCCTATTCTAAAATTTTTATTTTTAAGACCTACAGAAGGAGTGTATTCCTCCAGTATGACTTTATCCTCTACTCTTGGCTTTTGTTGTGTCTGTTTTGTTCTATGTACCCAGAAAACACATCCCATGCTGTTATGAAGAGCCAGGTAGTCCCTGCTCAAGGTATTAATTCCCTTGTTTACATTCCTCTATAATAGTGTACACTCATAACCCTGGACACATTCCTCCTCTGTCTGATTAACTGAGTATCCTTTTATCAGGTTTGACTTCCAGATTACCTAAATGGGCCTCCCATAAGGAAAAGCACACACACTGAAGAATGTTTTTCTTTACCTTTTTGATAACTGGCCTAAAAAACAAATATCTCATATTTTATCAAGATACTTTCCTATGCAGGCTTATTTAGGTTTTGGGTTACTTAGGAAAACTGAAATTTCCCAGTTCCATGCTCAAGCACACCTTGGATTCTCCAGGCCACCCACTGGATTTTCCTTGGTGCTGGAGTGTGTGCCTGCCACTGGGGGACCTGTAGGCAGACCCGTCCAGTTCAGACGCACCCATCTCACCCACAGTGTCCCTGGGGCTTAGCAAGGCACTCAGACCACTGTGCATTCCACATATCAGCCCATTGCCTAAGGCAACAGAGAGCCTCTCCTAGTAAAAAAGGATCAAGTATCAATCCAACTGCTTTGGCCACTGTCGGCTCTTACCCAATACTGCCATTTACTGGCTTGAAGGTAAATCTGCACAACATGTAAGAGAGTCCATAAAGCTATAGAAGCAAAGATTAAAGACCCTATCTGAGATTCTCTACACTCACGTTCCTGAAGAGAGGTAGAGAAAGAAGAATCAAAAATATTACAAAGAAATAAAAACCCATCTGCAAGAAAAGAGTTACAAAAATTAGAAATGCCAGTGTCTCCAGATGAGAAGAAGCTAGTGCAAGAATTCTGGCACCGTGAAAAATATGAATGTATGACGCCACCAAAAAATTACACTAGCTCTCCAGCAATGGTCCATAAACAAAATGGAAACCCAGAAATTACAGATAAAGAATTCAAAGCATGGGCTGAGCACAGTGGCTTATGCCTATAATCCCAGCTATGTGGGGGGCCAAAGCGGGCAGATCACCTGAGGTCAGGAGTTCAAGACCAGTCTGACTAACATGGAGAAACCCCGTCTCTACTAAAAATATAAAAATTAGCTGGGCGTAGTGGCGCATGCCTGTAATCCCAGCTACTCAGGAGGCTGAGGCAGAAGAATCATTTAAACCAGGAGGTGAAAGTCGTGGTGAGCCAAGATTTCACCACTGCACTCCAGCCTGGGCAACAAGAGCAAAACTCTGTCTCAAAAACAAACAAAAGAATTCAAAGCATGGATTGCAAGGAACCTCAAAAAGGTCCAAGACAAGGTTGAATATCAACAAAAAGAAACTTTTAAAGTGATTCAGGAAGTGAAGGAAGAGATAAACATCTTACCACATAATCAATTAGAGCTTTTGGAATTGATAAACTCACTTAAGAAACCTGCAAATACAATTGAAAGATTTAACAAAGACTAGACCAAGCAGAAAAAAAGAATGTCAGAGCTTGAAAACTGGTCTTTCAAAGTAACCCAGTCAGATAAAAATAAAGAAAACAGCTTTTTTTAAATGGACGGTCTTCAAGAAACATGAGATTATATAAAATGATCAAATCTACAAATTGTTGGCCTTCCTGAGAGAGAAGAAGAAAACGTCAACAACCTGGAAAACATATTTGAGAAAATAAATCAAGAAAATTTCCCTAATCCTGCTAGAAACGTAGATATCCAGATACAAGAAATCCAGAGAACACCTGTGAAATACTGCTAAAAATGTACATCATGAAGACATAGACTCATCCACTATTCAAAGTCAGCACTAAAGAAAACATCTTAAAAGCAGGTGGAGAAAAAGGTTGAACCATGTACAAAGGGAACCTCATTAGGCTCACAGGAGACTTTTCAGCAGAACCCTATAAGCCAGGAGAGATTGAGGATCCAATTCCACCATTGCTAAGGAAAATAAACTCCAACCAAGAATTTTATATCCTGCCAAAGTAAGCTTTTTAAGAAAAAGAGAAATAAAATCATTTACTAGAAAAGTAACCACAATCAAGTAGGCATTATTTCTGGGATGCAAGACTGGTAAACATCCACATTCAATAAATATGATTCACCATGTAAACAGAATTAAAAGCAAAAAATATATACATGATTATCTCAATAGACTCCTGAAAAGCTTTTGATAAAATCCAACATCTCTTCATAATAAAAACCCTCAAGAGGCTAGGCATAGAAGGAACATACCTCAAAATAATATGAAAAACCCACAAAATAATATAAAAAACCTATGAAAAGCCAACATCATACTGAACAGGCAAAAGCTGGAACCATTCCCTTTGAGAACTGGAACAAGACGAGGAGGCCCACTCTCACCACTTTTATTCAGCACAGTATAGGAAGTCCTAGCCAGAGCAATCAGGCAAGAGAAAAACATGAAAGACATCCAGATAGAAGAAAAAGGAATCAAACTATCTCTCTTTGCTAAAAATATGGTTCATACCTGAAAATCCCTAAAGACTCTGCCAAAAAGTTCCTAGACCTGATAAATGATGTCAGTATAGTTTCAGGATATAAAAATCAATGTACGAAAATCAGTAGTACTTCTATACATTAGTAATATTTAAACTGAGAGCAAAATTAAGAATGCAATCCCATTTAAAATAGCCAAACAGGCCGGGCGCGGTGGCTCACGCCTTTAATCCCAGCACTTTGGGAGGCCGACGCGAGTGGATCACGAGGTCAAGAGATCGAGACCATCCTGGTCAACACGGTGAAACCCCGTCTCTACTAAAAATACAAAAAATTAGCTGGGCATGGTGGTGCGTGCCTGTAATCCCAGCTACTCAGGAGGCTGAGGCAGGAGAATTGCCTGAACCCGGGAGGCGGAGGTTGCGGTGAGCCGAGATCGCGCCATTGCACTCCAGCCTGGGTAACAAGAGCGAAACTCCGTCTCAAAAAAATAAATAAATAAATAAATAAATAAATAAAATAAAATAGCCAAACAGAAAAACAAAAATACCCAAAATACATTTAACCAAAGAGGTGAAGGATCTCTACCAGGAGGACTACAAAGCACTGTGAAAAGAAATAATAGATGACATAAACAAATGGAAAAATATCTCATGTTCATGGATTGGAAGAATCAATATCGTTAAAATGGCCATACAGGCCAAAGCAATCTATAGATTCAGTGCTATTTCTATCAAGACACTAATGTACTTTTTCACATAATTAGAAAAAAAAACTACTCTAAAATTCATATGGAATCAAAAAAAGTGCTGAAATAGTAAAAGCAATTTTAGGCAAAATAACAAAGCCAGAAACATCACATTACCTGACTTCAAACCATAACATAAAGCTACAGTAACCAAAACAGCATGGTAGTTGTACAAAAGCAGACACATAGACTAATGGCACAGAATAGAGAACCTAGAAATAAAGCTGCATGTCTACAGCCATCTGATCTTTAACAAAGTCAACTAAAATAAGCAATGAGGAAAGGACACCCTGTTCAATAAATGGTGCTGGGACACTGGCTAGCTATATGACAAAGAATGCAACTGGACTCCTTTTACCACATACAACAATTAACCAAGACAGATGAAATATTTAAAGATAAGACCTGAAACAATAAGAATCTTAGAGGAAAACCAAGGAAACACCATTCTGGACATGAGACAGGAAAGAACATATGACTAGGAAAAACAAAAATTGACAAATTAAACTCAAAACCTTTTAAAGGTAAATAAGAGCTGTTCCTGGCTCCCCTAACACTGAGGCCGCTGCCAGTATCCAAATGGTAGGAGACCTTCTCTGCCCCTTCGAACCCAAACACTGATATGAGCAGTGATTACGGATTTCTTGAGGTCATTACACCAGACTGCCAGCTTGGGCTGGGTCACTGGCTCTCCCTTCAGACCTAAGCTATGGCATCATGCATCATACTAGTGGTACACCTGTTAAGCTTCAGTGTCCTGCCCAGGAAACCTCACCTCTTGTGTCTCCGCATCACCATAGACCCTGCAGACCTCCCTTGACACCTGCTTAGTTTGCAGCAGCCACACACAAAATCCCCTGGGATTCATTTGCTAGACCCAGGGAATTTTGCAGGGTTTCCAGTAGTCTAGCCCTCAGTAAGTGTAGAGTAATTAGAACGTGCTGAATGAAAGGTATCGGGGCGGCCCACCATCATGGTCACATGATAAGACCTCACACAGTATCTTGAGAGTTTCGGTGATGGTAACTCCCAGAGCGTTGAGCGTTAAGGGGTTGGGGGTTTTTCATTTTTCCATTCCTCATCACAGAGCAGAAATGATATATTTTTGTTGTGTGGAGTAACGTTGGTATGCAGCAGAGGAACCTAAACCTTTGGTCTTGTTTCAGAAGCCTAACAGATTGCTAGACAAGAGAAAAGTTTGTAGCAAGGGCTACAAACTTTAGCCACTAAATCTCCTCCGTGGAGCAACCCGCGTTCATCACAATATTAAACATCTTTCGGTAGATTCAGCGCCTTGCACCTCGGGGTCAGCTCATCTGCATGGAAGCTCAGTCTGCCCGCGACCCGAGAATGCAGGGTCTTTGACAGCTCAGGCCTTAGTTCGCCCAGTTACACAAGCCGACTTGCTCAGGCTGCTCTCTCACCGGATAACTCTCTCCACGGCACAGGGCCTCAAAACAGTCGGCTGCGAACCGGAGGAGGTCCTGCGGCTGCGCCAGGATGGCGGCCATCGTAAGTCGCCTCAGCGCGTGGGAAAACTCCGGGGGGATGGTTGGTTGTTCATCTGTCTGAGCCATTGGTTGGTTGATCTCAGGCTCGCTCCCAAACAGGCTGTCTGGCTTCAGGCGACACCTGGCGCCTGACCTCAGGCGAGAGATGTGGGGAGAGATCCAGTGCCTCCCACCCTTGGCAGAAGGAGACCAGCAGAAGCTAGGCGGGGAGGGCAACAGCGGCCAGGGGAACAGCAACTGCGGGGCATGACCGCGTTAGCATTAGGACCGTGAGCGCTCCCACCTTTGCCAGCTTGGAGGTGATGCTGATGCTGCCAATCTGGACACAGCTTGAAAAGCGACATCTGAAACATGACCCAGTTCCCCCTCTGCCTGACCCTGGGGGAGGAGAAGGAACTCAGCAGATATTGGGACCTTGCTTAAATTTGAGGTGATTTCAGTTTAACTTGAACAAAATGAGACTTTGAGGCAAGTGCCAAACTCATGGAGCATGTCTTCATCCATCCTGGATAAAGCTATTGAGTAGATGTTGAGAAATTATTTTTACAAAAGGAATTAAGGGAGGAACGAGACAAATCTTCCTCACAGAGAAATCCAAATAACGTAAGTCAATACAACCCCGTCCAAGAGGTGGAGCTTAATATCTCTTTTTCTCTCCTCCCTATATAAGAAGAGGAGAAGAAAAGCAGCTGTATGATGGAGAGACCTGGCAGCTGCCACCTCAGCCAAGTGATCAAGGTCAACACCATCTGGGAGGCAGGAGTCTGGAGAGATGAGAAAGATGCTTCACCTCAGGTCTTCCTGGGAACCATCACCTCAGGATCCTCATGTGAAAAGCATCAGACTGACAATAGGTGGACATCCTGCAGAAAACCTGACCGGTACTCCGCAGAAGTTAAGGATATGACACAGGGAGAGATGGAAGGAAGCTTTGACCTGAGAAGTCTGTAAGAAAATAACAACGTAGAATCCTAGAGCAGACCTTGTAACAGAAAGACACCACTGTAAAGTTGTGAAATCTGAGTAAGGTCCAGGATTAACAGTAAGGTACTCAGGTTGGTTTCTTAGTTTTGATGAACGTCCTGTGGTATTGGAAGATGTTCGATTTAAAGTGTGAGGTATATGGAAACTCTTTGGGATGCTTTTATAAATCTAAAATGTTCTAAAACCTTGAATAATTAGCCTTTGAATAATTAGTATAACACTGGGAAGCCATACTATACCAAGGGGGACCTTATGAGACTATCTAAAATGACAGGAAGGAATTATTGTATCACTGAAGTTGTTTTATATTTTACTATCTCCTGCCAACTCTCCTCCAAAATAATTCTGTGCTAATCCATTGCATCTGGTGGGAAGATGCAGTGGACTTGGCTGCCCCAGGTATGGTCAATGAGAATGTACTTTCTGTGAAGAATCTTAAAACAATAAAAATCGAATCAAATGCTGAATCGATCAAGTGGAAGAAAGGATATCGGAGACTGAGGATTAACTAAATGAAGTAAAGCATCAAGGCAAGATTAGAGAAAAAAGAATAAAAAGAAACAAACAAAGCCTCCAAGAAATATGGGACTATGTGAAAAGACCAAACCTACATTTGATTGGTGTACCTGAAAGTGATGGAGAGAATGGAACCAAGTTAAAATACTCTTCAGGATATTACCCAGGAAAACTTCCCCAGCCTAGCAAGGCAGGCCAACATTCAAATTCAGAAAATACGGAGAACACCACAAAGATACTCCTCAAGAAGAACAACCCCAAGACACATAATTGTCAGATTCACCAAGGTTGAAATGAAAGAAAAAATGTAAGGGCAGCCAGAGAGAAAGGTCGGGTTACCAACCAAGGGAAGTGTTATCAGACTAACAGCAGAGCTCTCTGCGGAAACCCTACAAGCCAGAAGAGAGTGGGGGCCTATATTCAATATCCTTAAAGAGAAGAATTTTCAACCCAGAATTTCATATCCAGCCAAACTAAGCTTCCTAAGTGAAGGAGAAATAAAACCCTTTACAGACAAGAAAATGCTGAGATTTTGTGATGATCAGGCCTGCCTTACAAGAGCTCCTGAAGAAAGCACTAAATAAGGAAAGGAAAAACCAGCCACTGCCAATAACATACCAAATTGTAAAGACCATTGACACTATGAAGAAACTGCATCAACTAATGGGCAAAATAACCAGCTAGCATCATGATATCAGAATCAAATTCACATAGAACAATATTAACCTTAAATTTAAATGGACTAAATGTCCCAATTAAAAGACACAGACTGGCAAACTGGATAGAGTCAAGACACATCCATGTGCTGTATTCAGGAGACCCATCTCATGTTCAAGGACACACATAGGCTTAAAATAAAGGGATGGAGGAAGATTTAACAAGAAAATGGAAAAAAAAAAAAAAAGAAAAGCAGGGGTTGCAGTCATAGTTTCTGATAAAACAGACTTTAAATCAACAAAGATCAAAAAAGACAAAGAAGGGCATTAAATAATGGTAAAGGGATCAATGCAACAAGACCTTACTATCTAAAATATATATGCACCCAATACCTGAGAACATAGACTCACAAAGCAAGTTCTTAGGGACCTACAAAGAAACTTAGACTCCCACACAATAATACTGGGAGAC